AAAAGGGGGGGTAGTGTTCCAGCCAGGGACAAAGAGGAGGGAGAGGGTGGAACAGGGGGAGAAAGAGAGAGAGTTCAGAGAAGAGACGCACAGCGATGGCCATTTCAGCCCCCGCCCAGCTCCCCCCAAATCATCTCTCCCTCCCACCCCCCCGCTGCAGCTGGGATCTGCTTGGGCCAAGCTGCCGTAGACACATGGGGCTGGGGTCCCCCCCGAGCTCAGGGGCATCGGGGCCTGAGCACGCTGGAGAATCCAACTGCCCACCGAGCTCTTCTGAGACAATTGCACCCCCCGTAGGGAAGCAGCCCGCCCCATCGCACAGGGCTAACCTGCCAGAGTTTGCAGAGTGGCTGATCCCCGGGGCGGGGAAATCGCTGCCCATCCGCCTCCCATCTCGCTGCTGCTGCGTGGGGCCAGCTGAGCTCACGGCCGACGGACACCCCCAATGACTGGCCTTTCGTTGCCAGCAAATGTCTCCCTCCGTCACCTCCATTAAAGCCCACAGCCCCCGCGCCTCCCAGGCCACAGGGCGGCTCGGATTTCCTTGCAAAAGGGTGACCTGGCATCTTGGTGCCTCTGGGGACCATGTGGGGGCACCGGGCACTGCGGGCTGCACCCAGGCAGGGGGCAAAGAGCAGAGCTGGGTGAAGGCTGCAACGGGCCATCTGACTCAGCTGCGACGGGCCCCCTCTCGTATTTGCTTTCTACAAGGGCAACTGCTGGTGCCCGGGGCCAACGAAAGAGGGGGAAGCCGGTACAAATTACCGGGGCCCGCCGGTCCGGAAGGGGGCCCCGGGCCTGGCTTCCCCCCCACCTTGGCCCTTGCTGGGGAGCCCTGAAAAAAAATTTTTCACCGGGGCCCGAACCCGCTCTCAGCAGCCCTGCTGGTGCCCAGCCATGCCGGGCTGGGTTCCTCATGGCCCCGCATGCCCACCACTTGCGCTGCTGCCCTCCCAGCGAGCCAGACCGTCTCCCGCCTGCGGCCCTGGCTCACCGGAGGAAGGCGGATCGTGTGAGCGACCCAATCGCTGGGCTGATTCGAGCGAGGAATCTGCGAATCATTTGGGGGTAACAGACACGCTTGCGGGCTTTGCAGTCTGCTCACAGACAGCTGCCGGCACAGAGAGACGGAAGTGACTCGCCCAAAATCACAAATGGGGGCGTGGGCAGAATGGGGGGGGGTACAACCCGGGCATCCTGCCTCCCAGTGGCCCCTGTTCTAACCACTAGACCACACTCCCCTGCCAGAGCTGTGTATGGAACCCAGGAGTCCTGCCTCCCAGTCCCCTACTATAACCACTAGACCACACTCCCCTGCCAGAGCTGCATATGGAACCCAGGAGTCCTGCCTCCCAGTGGCCCCTGTTCTAACCACTAGACCACACTCCCCTGCCAGAGCTGTGTATGGACCCCAGGAGTCCGAAGCAGAAGCACAAGCATTTCAGCGTTCAGATCAGCTTTGGCTGCACCACGACCGAGCTGTGTCTCTTCAAAGCCCCTGTAAAGGCCACCCAGGCCCGACTCAGGTGAGGTCCTCAAGCCAGTTTGCCTCCTTGTGTTAGAGCCCATCCAGGAAACGCCTCCCCAGGGCAGCAGGTGACGCGGGGGGACAGAATCGTGCTGAAATCAGGGCGAGAGCTGGTGGAGTAGCCACCAGCCTTCATGCCCGCAGTGCACGCACGGCCTCCTCGTCCTGCCTTGATTTCCCCCCATTTTTTCCTCCCTGTTTCACAGGGACACCGGCCCAAGGTCTCCCACTGGCGCTTGTAGAGTCTTAGGCACGTGCATTTGCACACTCTGGCGTGTGCACATTTCCACGCCCAAGCTCCCAGGTGGATGCACTCACCCGCACACGTGAGTACATTCACTCACGCACGCTCCCTGTTCCACACCGAGGACCCGCAGCCGCAGCCACTCTGCCTACCCCAGGAGACTCAGCGGGCACATCTGCGGGAGTTAAACGGCTCAGTGCCCCAGGGGACCTGGAATGAGTTTTAAATCCAACCGAAGCCGCGTTTAGCCAGGGCAGCGGGGCTGCCAACCCTGCCCTGTGACTGCCCTGATCCTCCCGGGCAGAAACACCAGCAAACCCCGTCAGTTCAAAGGGAAGACGACGTCCAGCCGTGGAAACGACAAGCTAATTTGAAGGAATTTTCCCCCAGCGAGCTGAGAGCTGGGGCTTGGGTGAGGGGGGCACACGCTGGTTTATGGGCAGAAATGATGGATTTAGTCAATCTCCCAGTGGTCGGAGCTGCCTGGAAATCCTTATCATTACGGAGGGTGCCTGCCCCGTTATTGTTAACACAGAGGGCCCTCTCCAGCGCTGCCCGGCAGCCCCTTTGTGCCCACGAGGCACGCCGGGGAGGCACCGGGGGGGACTGCAGGAAGGAACCACGTCTGGGGGCAGAGCCGGCTCCGTAGCAGGGGGCGGGCTGGGGGTAGAGTGGAGACCGGGCAGAGGCGGGAGGGGTCGTGGTCAAGACGGCGCTTGCTCCAGTCATTCTGCACCCTGCCAAGCCCCCCCCCCGGGGGGCCAGGGCCGGCTTTAGGCCAATTCCACCAATTCCCCTGAATCGGGCCCCACGCCCAGTGGCAGGGCCGCCGGGGTGGGGGCAAGTGGCCGAGAATTCTTTCCCTGGCTAGAGGCTCCTTGTTAATTGTTACTCACCCGGCAGCGCTCCGGGTCTTCGGCGGCACTTCAGCGGCGGGTCCTTCAGTGCCACCGAAGACCTCCGGAGCGAGTGAAGGACCCACTGCCGAAGACTTGGAGTGCCGCCCGGTGAGTACAAGCCCCACGTGTTTTTTTACATTTTTTTTTTCAGTCATCCCTGCTGGGGCCCCCTCAAAACAGTTCGAATCGGGCCCCGCACTTCCTAAAGCCGGCCCTG